CCCTCCAGATGTTGCTGAACTACAACTCCCATGATTCTCAGCCTATTTATTGCATTCACGGAATCATGGGAGTTGTAGTTCAGCAACATCTGGAGGGCCGGAGTTTGGGGAAGCCTGTGCTAATAGGTCTTTGTCTAGCTTGACAAAGACCTCTTGGCAGGCTGATATGTTGCTTCTCCTTTTTCTGTTACAATAAATCTGCCTGGGGCTTTAACACCTGGAGTGCATGGAGATTTTCTTTCCATTTGCCTTAATTTTGTGGGATTGCTCCTATCTTCAATGTGTGTAACATCTGCATGCTTTTATGTTTCAGCTGACAAAGTTATTTAATAAAATGAGAATTATTGGGATTTAAAAGTGAATTTCAAATTTGAAGCCAAAACAGCCAAACTAAAAACTTTCTATTGATTTGCTATCTGGCCAAAATTTTAAAATTTGCCTTTATTTCACTCTGAATTCCTGGCAAATTCTCATTTAGCAAATAACTGTAAGTGTAAGGATATTTTGTTTTCTTAAACTGAAAGAACTGTTTAGTGAAGGGTTGAACCAGAAATCGGCACACCTAGTGGGAGCAATTATCTAAAGATATTTTCGTTACATCCCATTAATAACTATGTTTGAATATCATCATAACCTCACTTCATCTTAAATCCATACTCTATTTGCATCTCATTAATATGTATCATCAACCTTAGTTATTTGACCAAATGTCAAGTTGTGTGTTGATATATCTGTTCATAGTGGCTTATTTCCAAGAAAGTCATTAAATTGAATTATTAATACCTCTTTAATTAATGTAATAAAAGATGGGAGCTTTCTTGTTTACGATTTTGATAATTAAAACAATTTCATCATCAGAACCAGATTAGACCAGTTTAGTTTGCCATCACAGTGTTGTTCGTTTGGGATCTTTTCCTCCATTCTATCTCAGACATATAATTAAATTGTATAAATACGAGCTACTAGCTCCTAACATGGGAGAAAGACACCAGAACTCATTGATCCAGCATCATGATGAGCTTTATGTTAAGTGCATTTTGCATGCTTGCTGTTTTCTTCAACACAGGTGAGTTATGGGACATAGTTAGTTCCCAATGTCTGGGTCACCATGTAGACCTCGGCTAGGAAAAATGTTTTTTAATGTTATTGAGTGCTGTGTGTAGACCAATAAGAATGTCACATGGTTATATTAGATGACTATCTTGACTTAACCACGCCAGACTGTTTGGAAAGTCTACAGAAGAAAACAAGGTAAAGATATGAATGTGTTGCATTGTATTTTTTATGTTGGTTACCATATCTGATCTTAGCCAAGATCGAAAATGTAAAGCTCTGTAATAAATGTGTCCAAGGTCAAAAAACTGTGTGCAACGATGAATAGCAACATTCCTTTCATATGTAGGACTGTATTAAATAAAAAAATAGGTCACTTTTAGGGTGATTGGGTGATAACGAAGAGGAGGTCACTCAATAATTCTAAGACTGGAAGAAAACATTATGGATAGCACAAGGAATTGGGTGGTTTTACATAGGATATTTAAAACCATATGAAACTAATTGTCTGAGTTAAACTAGATAAACAAAAATTATGTTTTAAAATGGCTTGACAAATTACTCTGAGCTGCTAAGTCTAGCGGTTATGGTGTTCAGTGTTTTTTTTTTTTTTTAATTATAAAGAATATCTATGCCACTTGTCCCAACAATTATTGGATGCTAATTCATTGAATGTGTTTCTTACCTCATTCCATGTTGGCAAACTACATTTTTATTTATTTTTACTTTTATTTATTTTTATTTTTTCTGTGTATTTATGATTATCCCCTATTTATACTTATAGTTATTTATATGTACATAGGATGAATATGTTTTATGAAAAAGGTGCCATATAACATATCATAACAGCATCTTGCATCGTCCTGGGCCATGCCAGGTGTGCCCAAGACCCCTGTAATAAAACAATGAGTTTTTTCCCCTCTTTCTCGTTTAGATCGCTATCTACAATTTGAGCTAGAAAGGTATCAGGTGAAAATAAAGGCGGCAAAATTGCACTTGGTTATCTCTGTAGAAACATTGCTATTTTGTGACACATTTTATAATTTTGTAATGTTTATAAACTTTTAGAGCATTTGTTGAAAAAACAATGCCTCTGATAATTATGTTTCCAAAAAAATATTCCCTCTTAAAAATAAATTCTAGGGCACACATGCGAGACATGTACTGCACATGAGAAGTTTGGAACAAGAAGCTTTTAAAATCCCCATTCCATAGGAATGGGCTTGTAAAATACAAGGAGGGCTTAAAATTCAATAAATAGTTGGTGAACACGTCACATTCCATCCCCTGCCACCACCCATGGCACCACATGGGGGCTCTAAAACCATGGGAGCCACTCTGATACAAATCTTATGAGAGATAACATTTACCTGTCAGAGTGTTCTGATTGGTCGGTTTAGTTATAAGGTGAAGTACGATTTTGCTTTGTGTTGCTCTTTTTTTCTGTTTTTGTTATTGGTTTTTTTTTCCAGCTTTGTTTTTTGTTTATTTTTAATAGTATTAGATGGATAAACAGAGACAGAGCAGGCCAATCCTGAAATACCCTGAATCATGGCAGCAGGGGTTGCTCTAGCTAATCTCAAAGCACAGATGGAGTACTGATAAAAGGGTCTTTATCAAAACTGATAATAAAACTGAGTAATGCATATATTTCTACATTATATTCAATTCATCCATTATTAATTATGACTTTTTTATTCATTAACAAACTTGCAATCTATCCATCTTCTATATTATTCTAGGGAATTGTCTTCTGTGTGAGAAATGTGAAAAGTTAAATAGTGACACATGCTCTGGAAAACTTGAAACGTGTGATAAATCTGTTGACAGCTGCTTGACTACATTAGTTGTTACAAATGATGGTAAGTAATGAATCCAGCTGTGTAATTATTATGGTATTACTACAAGAAGGTGTACAGAAATGCTTTGTCAAACACTACTTACTCTAAAATAGTAAACTATGGTGATACTAAAATCTATTTATTACAGGTGTCAGAACCATGCCACAGATCACCAAGTCATGTGCACCCAGCCCCAAGTTGTGTTCTGCTAGTGCTAACATGACATCTAAAACTGTGCAGCTGTACTATTTAGCTGAGTGCTGCAAAAGCAATGGATGCAACAAAAAAAACATAAAACGTGAGTATTGAAGCATCTTTCAAATGATTGGATATTGTTAAGATCTAGTAAATGTGTCCTCTGAGCAAGTTAAAGTGACACTATAGTAACCAAAACAACTTTAGCCTAATGAAGCAGTTTTGGTATATAGATCAGGCCCCTGCAGTCTCACTGCTCATATTAGGAATTAAATCACTTTGTTTATGCCGCCCTAGTCACACCTCCCTACATATGACTTACACAGCCTTCCTAAAAACCTCCTGTAAAGAGTCATCTAATGTTTACACTTCCTTAATTGCAAATCATGTTTGTTAGAATTTCTTTTCTCCAGCTCTGTTAATAGCTTGTTATATCCTGCAGAAATCACCTATGTGTAATTAAATTTCACTTTACAAAAAAAAACAGGAGATACAAACTTTTTAAGTAAATTACATCGGATTAAAAATTAAAATTGTTTTGTTTTTTACGCAGGCTGTGTCAGTTACAGCCAACGAAGGAGTGGCAAGGGCTGCATGAACCGAAACTAAATTGATTTAGCTCCTAAATGGTAGGGAATTAAGCAGTGAGACTTTAGAGGCATGATATATACACTAAAACAGCTTCATTAAGCTAAAGTTGTTTTTGTGACTATAGTGTTCATTTAAGCATGGGTGGAGTTAGACATTTTTTTTTTAAAATAAGAAAAGATCTTCACAGTCAATATTATTGTTACCTAATCATTATCTCTGTTCCTTCCTCAGTGCCTCCCTTTAACAAGACTGAAAATGGGGTAGTATGTCCTACCTGTGAAAGCTTATGGAGTAAAACTTGTGAAGTTAAAGAGACCATAAAATGTACTGGAGACCAAACTAAATGTTTCACATTAAGTAGTGGAATCGCTTTCCTTAGTGGTAGGTGTCCAGTTTTTATCCATCTTCATTCAGATATATTTTAGCCATCTGAGTGCAACTATTTGTTAAAGAGTGGATATCATGACTGTTTGATGTGTACTGATATACATGTTCTTTAATATTTACAGGTATTTTTGTTCCCACTAAAATAAAAGGATGCACCACTGAAAATGCTTGCACCGACCCTCTTCCACCTTCCCCAATCTCTCCATTAAAAACTGGGTTTAACTTTACCTGTCCTTAAGATTGACCAAAGATCAAACAATCTACAGAAGATGCACATAGATTGAAAGAAGACAAGTTGCATTAATTCGAGTGTTATGGGTAGATCAAATTAATATAAAGCAATAATGATAAACACAAATAAATATGTATAATTATATGTATGATACAATATCAGCATGGTAGAAATTAGTGGAATTATTCTCAAGAGAGTGCCCGCAGTTGATATGATTGCATTTTATATATGAAAAATAATAAAACCAAAAGTGTCAACTGATATTGTATTTTAAATTTTTTTTTTTTTTCTACAGTCACTGCTGAGTCATGCATTGTAACCAATTTCTTAATGTTTGGAAAAAATAAATAAATTTGGGGAAAGAATTGTTGGTCACTGGTGGAATGAACAAAAGAGATTAGGGAGGAAACTATTGTCCTCAGAACATAGGTCTCAAGGGCCATCTTTTCCATTAATCATCCATTATCAGGTTACCATAAAACATACTTCTGAGGTAATAAATCCAAACAAAAAAATAAATAAATAAATAAATAAATAAAATGATATGTCATTTGATTATATCAGTGATTGAGAGACTTTACCTCAAACATTGTAATTCATTCTGACTACAGATATGATGGTATATCTGGCACCTTTGCTTGGATTTTATCCTAATGAGGGTATGTGAATAATGCCATACACCTAATGCAGTGTCAGTTTTATTTATACAGATTGTGTCACTCTGTTAAAGAAATACAAAATATAAATGCATTTAAAATGAAATATCTTCTTTTTTCCAATTCATATTTTATTTGAGTTTCAACATTTTTTTTATCCGTTACATAGTTACAGGTATAAAACAGTGAGTATATTCAAACAACATTAGAATTATACGACATACAACAGGTGACCGTATTGGGCCACCGATATGTGGCCAATAGTAACATCATCATGCACATTAACAGTGTTCGTTAACAATGATAACAGTATACATTTTACGGATATGATTTTGAAGTAGCATTGCATATATTTGATTTTTTAAACAACAACAAAATGAAAAGTAAAGGTAATGGTAATGTACAGACAACCTATAGAGTAGTAAATAAGGTAAGAATAATGTGCCATCTTAGTTTTGCACCAGATTCAAAGGGTATTTTAGTGAATGGGATAAATATCTTATGCAGTTTGTAGGGAGTCATGTACCACCTATAAAGAAGTTTTCTGTGAGCTTCCACATATGAGTAAGATTTGGTCTATTTTGAAAAGGTATTGAGGGCTTTCAACCAGACTTCATCATTTAGGGTTATGGCACAGTCAATTTCCCACTGGGATCGACACAGCTTGAGCTCCATCCAGGCTCTATAGCATAGTGAAAGAGTGTTGGGTTTGGTGGGCCCTGACCAGCATCTCTCCACTATCAGTTATGGGGAAGGGGGGCTAACTGTTTGAGCCCGGTTGGAGTGCAGCATGCAAGGCAAGTATGCCTTTGAGTTGTAAGTATGAAAATACTGGCACCCTGTCTGTAGTGTAGGGAAGGGTTTTACCGTTTGGTTCTCCCAAAGTTGGGCTATTTGGGCAATGTTTTAACGATAAGTCTGGTGAGACTACTTTAACCACTGATAAGGGAGATTTAGGATGGAGTTGTCCTTTGTAACCCATAGTTAAGAAGAGTTTGTTCCAGCATTTGAGGGTAAGTTGTGTCGTGGGGAATAGGTCAGGTTTAGGCCTCTTTAGTGGGGTAGGAGTCCACATGTACGTCAAGAGCTCTCGATCTTGGAACTGTGCTTTTTCCTTGTCCACCCATTGTAACACACCGGGGAGCAAGGGGGGAGTGCAATAAGATTCTGGTTGGCAATGCTGCTGCTTTGTGTGTCTATTATGTGGAGATTGTTGTAAGATATGCAATGGTACTCTAGGTTTCCCTTTGTCCCATACAAAGGAGCTACATATGACTTGTAGGGATTTGCAGTAAGTTTGCGGAACAGTGATAGGTAACATTCTATAGACATGTAAAACGTGGGGTAGAATCAACATCTTATATGCGTTTACTTTCCCTATCCAGGAGATTTTAAGGGACTTACATTTGGTAAGTAGATCTTTACACAGTCTCTGTAGAGGGGTGTAATTCAGTTTTATAATACCTGTTAGGGATTGGGTTTTTTGTCTCTTAGATAACTGAGGGAGGTTGTTCTCCAGTCAAACAGCTTTTTAACGAGGTAATAAGGTGTGGAGATAGTTTAATTGGGAGGGCCTGCGTTTTGTCCTGGTTCTGTCGATAGTGGGAGACATTGTCTAAGGATTTTAAAAGTGGTAGCAGTGAGGGGAGAGATGTTTCAGGGTCAGAGAGTGCAATAAAAATGTCAGCAGCAAAAAGTGTTTTCCCAGATCCGGGATACCCATGATGCTCGGTGCATATGTATTTTCCAGGCTAATGGTTACAGTGAGAGCATATAAAGGAGGGGGAACATCCCTGCCTCGTCCCATTGGGGATGTGGAAGGTGTCCGATGTGAACCCACTGTTGGATACCTTGGCCGCTGTTTAGTGTATAAAGCCATGATGCTACGTATGACCTCAGGGGGGAAATTGAATCGGGCAAGGACTCAAGTCATGTAGGACCAATTGAGCCTGTCAAATGCTTTTTCCGCATCTAGTGCAAGGAAAAGGTCTCCGACACCCCGTCTCTTCATTCTTGCCAGAATATTGAGCATCTTCCTGGTATTATAAGAGTCCTGGCATCCCTTTATGAAATCGGATTGGTCATTATGCACTAGTTTGCTCAATAGCGGTGCCAGACAATTGCTCAGGAGTTTGGCATAGATTTTTGTGTCTCAATTCAGTAGGGATATTGTCATAATTTTTTTGCATTGGGTTTCCTGGTTTGGGCCGGGTTGAAATATGGGCTAACAGCATTTCCTTCAGCAAAGAGCCGATGGTGGTGCAATGGTAATATAAGTTTTGTAAGTGTGAGGACAGAATGTGCGAGAATGTCTGGTAATATTTGTTGGGAAGGCCATCAGGCCCGGGGGTTGGGCGATCAGCCCAGCTATCTTCATCACCGAAAAAGGTTGCATCAAAAGGTCTTGGTCTTCTCTAGTCAATTTGGGGAGGTTCAGATCTGCCAAAAATGTATCATCAGGGGTGGGGAGAGGTGCTTGTGGGTCATACCTTATCTTATACAGTTTACCATAGTAGTCAGCAAACTAACTTACAATAGCCTGTGGGTACAAAAGTTTTTGGCCTGTTGATTTTTCCAGAAAGGCAATCCTGGAGGCAACAGTTTTCTGTTTTAATTGAGAGGCTAGTTTGGCTCCCGCTTTGTTACCCATAGTGAAAAAATTGTGTTTGGACTTTCTAAGTAGGAATGTAGTTCTGGACAGCTCCATGTCTCTAAGTTGTGCCTGTAAATTGAGAAGTTTCGTGTGGGTGGCTGAAGAGAGGTTGTGTTTGTTAGTGTGTGCGGAGTCTGTGATTTCTGTGATTAGGGATGTGTCAGATTGGTGGGGACCGCCTGTCTGTGGAGGCCTGTAAGGGCCTCGAGTTGCTCAACCAGTCCTTGTTAAGCCTCTTAGGTGATATTTTCAGCAGTGGTGTTCTCGAGGCAGCCGCTTTCCGTCCTCCAGTGAGAAAATGGGTTTGTCAACTCTATTACATTTCACTAGCAGTTTCGCAGGGAACCCCCACTTGTTTGGGATGGTAACTGCTCGTAAAGCTGCTGTGATGAATGTAGCGGAGATGCAATATTCCCCAGGTTATCTCTGCTTGTAATCCAAGTGAGGCTCAGGAACAAGTAAATTGTAAATCCACAGGCAAGGTTTCCAGCAGGCAAAATAACACAGCAGTATCCCAACAGCAATCCCAATAACTGGACGACACACAGTTTCAGGAGCAGAACTGAAAGCTTTATTCCACACTGGCCTTTTAAAGCATGCTCCCATGCAAGGGAGGGATTACCTTCATTAATACAGTAGCCAATCCTGTCCTGGTAACCTCCCACACATCTCCTCCCCTCAGCCGGCATCATAATCCCCTTATCCAGTACAGCAATTCCCCCCCGTTTCTGGATGTACCCCTAAATGTAGGGGTACCCCTTTAAATCCTACATCCCCTGGTAGCCCTGATCTGGGTGAACAACATATCCAAAAATCACCCAGATCAGACCAGGGGTTCGGGAAATTTATGGAGGGAATAAAATGACCGACCGCACTGAGTGAAACAGCCGAATGCGGCTCCATGTGAATGGGCCCTGCGGTCGGTCCTGGAGTCAGGGAATAAATGGCATGAAAACCTCTAGCTATAGAGGCTAAGGAGGGTTCGCCTGAATCCCCTCGCTCGGTTCTTTCTATCTACCGAACGAGGGGCCGTTCAGTAGTTAGGAACCAAACGGACCGGGCTTGTGGAGGTTTCAGCGGTGTTCGCCTAGTCGAGTGTCCGATTTGAGTTCCAGACACTCGACGGCAAAACACCGCTGTTCGGAAGTGTTCGTTTTTCAAATGGCGGCCACCCCCGAGAACAAAGGACGGCTACTTAACTTGTCAATTACCCGTTCGCAACAATGTTGCAACGGGTAATTGAGGACACACTTCACACAGGGGAGGTCTGACTGTTCGGTAGTTTCATTTGAACAAACTAAGGGAATGAAACTACCTAACATTCAGACGAATACAATACATCAAATACATACAACTTTGCTGTTTTCACACGAATGCATAAAAATACACGAAATTCTCAGGACAGCCCAGGGCCATCCGCTACAATGAGTGCAAATGTACGCCTTTTAAACAGGGAGGAAAGGTCTGTAAAGATGTTTATCTTGCCAAATTTCTCCGGTAGTGGTGAATTAGCTCTGGAAGCTTGCATAATATGATCCTTTACTGTGAAATAATGTACTTTTTGCTTAGGCAACCTGTAAGTACAGAAAAAGTGGAGCGTTATAGGTGAGACCAATAGTCACAACCAACAAAGCCCAGTGGAGCGCTAATAGTATGAATAACAACTTACCCTTATATAAAGGGATGTATATATACTCATGAATATATCTAAGAAAGGAGAAATGGGGAACAACAATTGGTGCAGTATGTAGAGACTTGGCAAAATTTAGGGTGAAACTTGAATTTTAACAAACTCACATGGTTGAGAGCCTGGAGAGGATAGGCTCAAATCACAGTCACAGTGGTATTTATAGTGAAT